CCCCTGCCAGACCAAGAGATTTTCTCTTTTAACACTTCAACATTTTTGTGTACATGACTCAACTTGTAGCTAATGGGGTATTCAGTGTATTGGTACAATGTATGTTATGTTTTTACTTGTCTATTTTGTTATCCTTTTCTCGTATTCATTAAGGAAAGGGCAACCAACAATTGAGATAACCATTCCAGTAGAGGGAAGAAGAAGACAGCAGCTTAACAGAAGGCCGACCAGTTGGCAGAAGTAATAGGCCAGTCCATTGGTTCAAAGCAAATTAATGACAATGCCCTGCCAAGTAGCTGTCTTTTCTTATTACCAGCCAAGATTTGGTGGGTTAGACGAGACAGGAATGGATCAAAGGCAGTGTCAATCATGTGGGCTCAAAACAGACATGCTATAAGGGGTAAAGTTGCCTGATTCTTGCAAGGTGCAAAGCAGTAAAGAAGGATAATTCCAATACAGTTGAACATGTAAACAAAAGTTGCAAAACCAAAATGTCCAACCACAAGAGGCTTGAAATTCATAATTATGAGCCCAACCAGGGAGAAAGCTGTCCTCAATGGAAAAATGCAAAGAAATTGGCAAACAATGATGAACCAAACAATGAAAAAAGCAGCCAAACTGCAACAAAATAAAAAAATACAATGATTCAAACATGGAAAAAAGTGGTGATTCTGAGCCCCAACTGTACTGTATACATGTATGTAAATCAGCAGCACAATGCCAACCAGAGCATGGTTGCTTGCAACAAATGTTCTGGCTGGTATCATTTACTGATACATAGATCTTGAGCCAGAATGCATGGGTAATGTTATGTTTTATTGGAGAATGAATGGTTGTAATTCAGGAAAACTTTCATTTTGATCAGCTTCAGACAGCACAAGTGACATGAATTGGGCATAACTTCCGTACAACACAAAAACCAATTTCACATGAGCGAATAAAACTCTCAAGAAACGAACGATGAAGATGAAACACTAGATATAGAAATGCATGTACATGATAACGGCACAAACACAAAAAGTTTATAAAAACACGCTTGAAAGTAGCAGATGACAATGAACATTACAACAATTGTATGATTAAAAGTGCAAAGTTGAGGAGAAGAAAGACCGATTAACCTTCAAATCAGGGCCAACAAAGGCAAAGGTTGCAAATAAAGAGCAGGGCGCGAATAGCCCTCCACCCAAGCAGACTTTGAATATTTACAAATTCATTCAATTTAGCAATTGGAGAAAAAGAATGTCATCAAAAATCTGAACACGAATTTCCTATGGAACTTGAAACAAATAAAGGACAAAGTTTTGCAAATGAAGACAACAGCAACTATTAACACTCCAGGTCTACAGCTTTTTATTGTCTAAACAATTGAGAATTTTCAAATGAGTCTCTCTCAGATAGTACCAGTGAAACGTTACAGGACTTAATCCCGGAAAAAGTTCTTTTAGAAATGTGTAGTAAGAGGAAACATAAATCTCATCAAATCTAAAAGCAGAAAAACATTCAGACTAATCAAGCCACCTCCCTCCCAAAAATGTCATTTTCACATAAAGAATACTACATGGACGCTGTATGTGCATTTTCTGTTATTCACTTTCAATTCGCTTCCAGGGCCTTGCATGACGAGAATAAAACCAGCTTCCTCCAAGTCAATATCGTGTGTATATTTTGACCAGTTCATTACAGAATTTCTCTGCCATCACAAACACTATAAAGCCTATCCCATGCAGGGACTACATGTACATTTGATAAACAAAGATTCTAAATGGCAACTATAACAAACCACATACATGTGTATGCACAAGAGCTAATTTTAAATGACATTTCAAATTTACATTCTTGAAAACAAAATGAGACAAATGTGACAGGTCGACTATTCTAGTCACCTGATCCCTCCACTTCTGTAACACATTTCTTATTCACTTCTAGACTTCACTATTCCTCTTTCTACACATGTACCTCGTGAACAGACTTGTACCATTTAACATAATTAGATGCAGCTTTGTATTGTAGAGTGCCCTCTCTTTTAATCCCGTACTTTACACTTGATAAATACCCATGTAGCTGGCAATACCTCTGTGAAGTATCCTCCATGATTACATTCCTGTACTGACTGGTGCATTTGCATATTTACAGAGCCATGCATGCCACATAATTCTGACAATAGTGACTTGAACAGTGTATTGTTTCTGCCCTGCATTTGTTCACTACTACTACAACTACATGTATGAAAAGCTTTTGTGGTTCACCCCACCCTGTGGAGTGGGGATTGAGTGGAAACATTCCGATCAAATCACTCTGCTTCAGAGCCTCCTTGCCTGAGCATCAAGCTACTTTGTTGCTACAGCTCATATCATTACATTTGTACATATATGAACCTTTGCAACCATTGCCTTCTTGCATACTGCGTTGGTGATTGGCACAGGTTCCATTTACAAAGTTCTTAGATGACATAGGACCCAGTATTGGCATTTCCCATATTGTCTGTTTTGGGTAAATCTTATTCTACAAATACACATGTAGATATACTTTTGATAAAGATACTAATGTCTCCACAACTTATTATTGTTAATCAGAGATTAAAGATGAAGAACCCCGAGACTAAAATTAAGTGTTCTTGGATTCATAGAAACTGGAAAAGTTAAATTAACTGTTCTTGGATCCGTGGAAAGTAGAGGGTTCCTGAAAAAAATTTGTGCTTATAACAAATTTGTCAGTTCTGCATATGCCCACTACTTATCTGTGCATATTTTCATGAATATTTTCTTGAATTTTTACAGCCATCCTCTGTGTCCCTCACACTTCATATTTAAGGTGTAGCAGTTCTATATACTACCAGCTGTACGCTTTGGTAGGTTTGATGTATTTGATGTACACTGTGTGTACTATTTTTTATAAAATCTGAGAACGAGAATTAAATTTGGGAAAGTAAGAGTAACTTGTGGGTCAATCTTAACTTACACTAATTGAATGCATATTTGGTAAGATCTGTTATATTGTACATTGCTTCAAAACTGTTAAAATTATTACCGAGTTGCTAAATTGTCATATCCTACCTACACTCTGTGCACATGATTATAGGCACATGTTTGGGTATTATTATCCCAACTGTGGGATTTTCCACTGGTGGCAAATGGGGCTTGCACTATTGGCTTGGCTGAAAAGACATATACCGTGTGTGTTGTAAATCAGCCACATGCAGCTGTTTGTCTCAGAACTATTTGCTGAATTGTTATCTGTGGCCTTAAACAAAACAGTAGTAGGGTGAAAGCTTACTACTTTTTGGCATATGACTGAGAGATGAAACAGTAGTAGGGTGAAAGCTTACTACTTTTTGGCATATGACTGAGAGATGAAACAGTAGTAGGGTGAAAGCTTACTACTTTTTGGTATATGACTGAGAGATGAAACAGTAATAGGGTGAAAGCTTACTACTTTTTTCTGGCCTATGACTGAGAGATGAAACAGTAGTTGGGTGAAAGCTTACTACTTTTTCTCAGGCCTATTACTGAGAAAAAAACAAGAGTAGGGTAAAAAGTTATTGTTTGCCTGGTGCCAATGGACATAAGTGGTTGTCAGTTTTATGGGTTGGCAGTATTTGAAGGTGGCAGCCTTGTGTTTTCATTTATTCAATCACCATGGCGTCTACTAGCAGGTTGTCCAGCCATGGAGGAAGGAGGGGAAGGAGTTCGAACGGCCCGCCAAGCCCCACAGGATATTTACAGACCGATTAGTACCCCTCACTGACCAGTGGTAAAGCCATGGAGGCCTCCCGCTGCGCGTCCACTGGCCGACAGATTTACGACCGCGATAAGACTCCTTTGTGCACAGGGTCCATTGCCGCTTGATAGCAGTGCTTCGTGTTCTTACTGGAGAAATCGCTGTTCACCAACAAACAAATAAACCTATATAGCATGCGCGCTAGCTCTGGATCCCAACCATGCTTGCGCCATCTTTTCCATCGCATGCAGCAGAAAATTCCAAATCGTTTGATATATAGATGGTCCTTTTCCGACTTTTTTTTCGGTAAGACACATTAAGATTTTATTGTAGTGGAATTCATAAGATTATGAAAAATATGACGACATACTTCTGATATTTTTGGGGGTTTCCGAAATGTTGCGATCGTTGAATTTTCGTTGTCTTGTAGGGAAAGACTTTCTTTGTCCACTCATATGTATTGCATAGCGAAGCGAAGTGGAGCGCTCTCACTATCAAGGGGTTAAAATTTACCATTTTGACGTTTTGAATGAAAAAAACCCCGAATAAACTCTAGTCATAGACGTCTTAAATAGAAAAATGAGTGTGGGTTGTAACTCTTTTTGTATTTTAATTTCTGTTTTGACCACATATGAGGATTTTTTCCGGCATGATGACGGACATGATGGACACTCACGTCAGATAGCCTAGAAAAAAAAAATCATCTGGGCCAACGTTTAATAAGGCCCCATGCTCTTCTAAGAATAAAGTATAAAGTCTCACACCTTTAAAATTTCATTCTTTTTTTAATTTTTAGGGTCTTTACATGCCATAGCCTCATTCCATTATCCAGTGCACGATGTTTTGTATTTGAGAAAAGTTATTAATTTAAAGGCCACCAGCATGATTTTCATGATTTTTGTCAGTAGATAAAACTTTAACATGTTAAGCCCACACTATTTCTGTTTTTTGGGCAAAGCATGGAGGAAGGAGGGGCAAAGTTAACATTTAGACCTAACGTTACACGTAAAAGTGTTATGTATGAAAATTTTTTTAAAATAAGGCATGTAAAAGAGGCTGCGTTTTATAAATGGAGGAGGAAGAAATCTACCCATTTCTTTTTTTTTCCTCGTCCATTTATAAATCATGGAGGAAGGAAACTAGGCTTACGAATTTTGTGTTAAATTTATAAAAATTTTACATAAATATATGCATTAACTGTTCCATGTTGTCAGCCATGAACTGAATGATGCAGAGGTGCCCATAAATAATTAAATATTTTTCTCGATATTAAATCAATTTCATCATCACATTTACTTCTGTTACAGTTTTCATGTATGGCAATGGAATTTTACTAAACTCATTCCTCCCATCCCTCCTCCATGTTTCTCCATTGTCTCATTGCATTTGCAGAATCTAAAAAGATGTTAACATGTTTCTTGGAAATTAAAGTCACTATAATAATGGAAGAATTTTTTTTCAAACAGCAAAAGTGATTTTGTCTGTGTGTTTATTATTGATTTTTCCAAGACTACAAACACTCATTTCTCTTTTGTTACAGGCATTACGCATACGAGTATGAATCAGCACCGACAGTGCCTGCGGGCACTCTGCAGGCTATGTGGCTTGGAACGAGCTATTCCAAGTGACCGGCAACCGGTGGATAAGAGGCAGCTAGGGAAGGTCATAGAGAGTGCTTTTGGTGTAAGGATCCAAGAGGATGATGATGATCTTCATCCCCCCTATGTCTGCAAGGTGTGCCACTTATAGCTGAGGAAATGCTGGCCGAAACATCAGAAAAAAGTAAAAGCCAACCTCAATATTGAGGTACACACCTTTGAGCAGCTATCTTGTGACAAGTGTGATGTGAAGTTGCAAGATGAAGGGAAGTTGCCAAAGTGGAAGGCTGTGGCGGAGAGATATGGCCTTCTGACATGGTGTAGTGATGAGTTGCTCCAGGTAATGCAGATGAGCAGGGAGGGACGCCCTTCGCTTTTCTTCACCATAAGAAAGGATTTGACATGGCAGTTAGTCGTTGCTGGGACGCCGGTACCTCCGGGCAGTCATATTTGCAGGGGTATTCCCGACATCCTGGATTCCATTCATGTAGATGAAATTTTGTCCAATATTTCATCCCTTGTGGTCTGTGAAAGGAATGCAGATTTCTTGGATCTGATAGAGGCGAGGAAGGGGAGTCAGGGTGAGGTACCAGTCCGAGTTTCAACCAATGATGTTGTAAATGAGGGTGTAATACGCCACAAGCATTGCCTGCAGATGAGTGACCGGAGCCCTTGATGTAATGTGTGTCAAATATACAGTTCCAATCTCAATGCCCTACATAGCCAACAGCGGATGAAAATCCATCAGGAAATTACTCCATCATCCACCATCCCAAATGTAAAAATGACGAGGAAGCAGCTACAGCAGAAGGTGACACAGCTGCAGATGGAAAGGCAAAGTCTGAAACGTCGAGTAAATGCCTTGGAAGAAAGAGTGGCAACTATAATCCGTGAAGACTGTATTGGGGTCGACGATCTTCAAAATGAGATCAGCAGATCAATGCAAAGCTGTGATGCTGAGATGATCAAGGCCCTGGGCAAAGACACCCCGGCTCATTTGTTGTGGGAGAAACAAAAAGAATCAATGATGAAAGGAAACAGATGAAGTGGCACCCTGCAGTCATTCGCTGGTGTATTGCGCTTCAAAATAGATCATCCTCAGCCTATAACCTGATACGGCAGACGGGTTTCATCAGATTGCCACACCCATCTACATTACATCCATACAGCCTTTTTGCCAACCACACAACCGACTTTAATTTTGATATGCTGGCAAGGGTGGTCAAAGATTACAAGCTTCATGCTAGGCCAGAGCATGAAGCTTGTATATCTCTGCTCTTCGACGAGATGAAGGTGAAGGCAGGTCTTGTCTTTTCGATAAAGTCTGGCAAAGTGATCGGATTAACAGATGTTGGGAGCCTGGCAAATGAGTTGGCCAGCTTTGAAAGGAAATGCCGGGGTGATACGGAGCCTGACACTGCCACCCATGTCCTTGTGTTGATGGTACGTGGAATCTTCATGAGTCTGCATACCCCAGTTGGGTATTACCCAACAGTTGGTGTGACAAGCCACCAACTGTTTCCATGCCTTTGGGAGGCAATTCTTCATTTGGAGGTAGCTGGTTGGAAGGTGCGGGCCCTCGTCTCTGATGGAGCATCGCCTCATCGAAAATTCTATCATCTCCATCAAGACCGCGGTTCATCTGATGAGGTTGTTTACTTCACACCCAACCCCTTTGACACGACCAGACGTATACATTTTGTCTGTGATGTCCCTCATCTCATCAAGACAACCAGAAACAACTTTGAGAATTCTAGCTATCACAACAAGACAAGGCTCCTTTGCGTAAGACACTGTGCATGTAATACCATTACCCGAACAGAAAAAGGGATGCATTTTTCCCATCCACTCGAAGTTGTGTTGACATTTGTTTGCCTGTTTTTATGGTGCACATCACTTGTATGTGTTCAACTTTTTAATCTAGTTTATGATAGGTACAGTTTGCACCATTCTTCATTGTTTGCAGGCATCATTGAATTTTGGTAGTTCACAAACTGCACAATCCTGAGGACTGGTCTCATGCTGTTTGTGAAATTATCTTTAACAATTTGTTCACATTTTATTTTATTTACAGTACAACAAACAACCCATCGAGTGGACCCAACTGCTTCAGATGTATGAGTGGGACATGGGGCTGGAACGACACTCTCCAGGACTTCGACGTCTACACAAGTTGACGTATGAGCACTTGCATCTCACGCCTGCATTGAGAATGAGAGTGTACATGGCTGCACAGGTAAGACCTGCATGAACATTGTGTTCTTTACTACCTGGAAAATGTACTAATTGGAGGTGCTTTTTTTTAAGTTTTTAAAAATGTTAACAAAATACTCTTCAAAGCATACCTTTTTATTAAAAAATGGCTTTTGCAATTGAATTATTTCTGTGTGTAGGTCCTCAGCTCTACAGTCGCAAATGCCTTCGAGTCGCATGGGAAAACTGGAGCAACATCTACAGTCAAATTTCTGCGGATGTTTGATCAGATGTTCGATTGTTTGAATGTTTCAAACACACATGCTGCAAGACACCTGAGGAAACCTTCACTAGAACCATACAGGAGCTCTACAGACTGGCGCTTTGAGGTATTTTTGGTTCTTGTTATCCCTGTCTGTAGGCAAGTGTACAGTGTAACACTGTTATTACAAGGTCTTTTTGACTTCACAAACTGCCTTGTTATAACAATTACCTTGTCTTATCAGTGCTAGAAAAAAAAGACCTGGGACCAAAAATTGTCCTTGTTATTTTTTCCTCCATGGTTATACCCATGATGTATTAACAGTGTTCTTCTTGTCTGTGTTTGATTATTAATGTACATGTATAATAACCTTATCCAATTACATGTACGTGTACCATTTTAAATCCCATAGGTTATCATTGGCATCTGATTCTGATCATCTTGATGAATCCTCCTCTGAAGAGAGTGGCTCGGATAACCTAAGTAACTTGAGCGATAGTGGCATGACTTTTGAGGAAACTGACAGCAAAGACTCAGAGTCAGAGGGGCATCATCACCTGTGCGAAAGAAACGTCCCCTGCATTTTCATATCACTTGTCCAATGCATTTACATGTACATGTACATGTATACCCAAAACATCTTGCAGAATTTATTAGAGTTTATTTATTGATCCAGTTTAGAGCAGTCTTTGAAGTAGTCTTTCAAACTATATACTTTTATTTCACTGTTTAGGTTTTGTTTATTTCTCACACATGCAAATTTACTTTTTTCATTTTTGTCTGCCATAATTGAGTTTGTTTTTTAAGATTTTTAGTCCATGTACATGAAGTTTATTTGAATTTTATTGCTACTACAATGTATCACACAGAAGAATATCAGTAAATAGATTTTCATCAACAAGTCATTGAAGAACTGTTCCTGCCAAACTCTTGTGTAACGTTCCTACCCACCCTCGCATGTGTCTGAAAATCTGTCGTGTGCCGCCCCCACAGGCATTTTTTTTGGCCGGTTCAGGTTTACAGGACATAGAGGACACCCACCTATCAATTTAAATACCTTTAGAAAAGAAAGAAAAATAAGCTCAAGAAAAATAACAATGAGGGTTATACTGAGGCCGTCCACGATGGACGGACTTGGAACATTCAGATTAAAAAAAGGGCCCATGCAACGCAAGGAGAAGGAAGTATGAGGAACTGGATGATCCCTCAGACTCTGATTGAAATGGAGTACTACTTGTTTACTGAGAAATATAATGACCTAGCAAAAATGAGTGTTCAATAATTGTAACTGTGAATATGCGTATGCCCTATATTTCACAAAAACCTTAAATTCTGGATAAGTATGAATGGATTCAAAGTAAGTTGCATAAGGACTAGAAAATGTACACACATGTATGGTCTTTCCAACAAATGCTGCTCCATATTCATATGCTGCAGTAGCTAGTCCTTGAATGTAAAAGACCATGCAGAATGATATGGGGCACCCATAGGCATATACCCTAGTAGGATCCTGTATACATATACAATGAAATAGGCTGTGTTGAGATTGGTATGGGGTGCCAATCGGCGTACCCTAGTAGGATCCTGTATACATATATGTCGGACCCTGTTAGAATGCCACTTGAAGATGTTGGGTTCAACTAAGTGTCATTCCCACAGAAGTGTGTCACAGCATACCCCTCTCCAAGAAGGCCGGATGGAGAAACCATCTGCATAATTAGTCATCTATATGTTTCCACTTTTCCCGTGGTTCTTCCTTTTCCGACTGACCATACATGTATGTTTTCTTAGCCAATCCATCTAAGAAGTGGGCGAATAACCTTAAACTGACTATAAAATTGAGACCACATCCTGGTACGAGATCTTGAGAAAGTCTTAATTCAAAAGATGAGATCATTCCTTATCCAAGAAAACTTAGTGACTAAAGACCATACTGCATCAATTGTTCCGAGCACATGGCTCACCCGTTATAAGAGGCCCAGGTCGCCCTGTCCTCCTCAGAAGCGATCTGAGACCTGATGAGAAGGCTGTCTCCAAGTGCTGTCTGCACTTTGCTTGTTAGACAAAAGTTGTTGAAACTTTTCTCCTTTTCCTTCTCATCACTGACCTGTGTGCTCTGTTGGTGCAGGGTACTTGCCCATAGGTCATGTCGCTTTGGGGAGCCGACCCGGTTCGTCTCTCTACCGTCTTCACTTAGACCTTTTTCCCCATCACCATGCTGGATCTGTGAGTCTATTGACCTAGCGAAGGACTACCAAGGACTTGGAGCTGCACCCATGTCCAATGGTCAAGTTGGATCAAGCAAGATCAAGATCACAGCTCAGCCTGATTTAGTTTTTTTTTTTATTTCTTGATTGTATGAGGGATTGCATTTTTTCTGTATAAGTCATTTGGTTCCTTTCCAGTTATTGATTGGATTGCTTTGAATCCTGTTTTCAATTTAAGTGTATGTTTTAAATTACCTGTCCACCCATTGTTGGTACTTCTTGTATATCGCCATGTACTTTGAGTGATTGTATTTTTAGTGTTTTCTTGCAATAAGATTATTTGAGGATCAACATAAGAAGCTGTCCGTTTGGATTCTTTCGAACAGATTTTCCTTGTAAAACAATTTATTGAACCGGCACAGGTCTCGACTATGACAATCGAGAGCCAACCTGTGACATATACAATGAAACAGGCTGTGTTGAGACTGGTGTGGGGCGCCAATCCGGGTACCCTAGTAGGATCCTGTATACATGTTTAACCCTAACAGTCCCAAATCCTCCAATTTCAATTTGACTTTACATACACCCTAGGGGGTTAGGGATAATGAAACAAGCTGTGTTGAGACTGGTATGGGGCACTAATTGGAGTGCCCTCGTAGGATCCTGTATACATATATAATGAACCAGGCTGTGTTGAGACTGGTATAGGGCACCAACCAGCATACCTTAGTAGGATCCTGTATACATGTATAATGAAACAGGTTGTGTTGAGACTGGTATGGGGCGCTACTTACCCTATTAGGATCCTGTATACATGTACTTGTATAATGAAACAGGTTGTGTTGAGACTGGTATGGGGTGCCAATCAGCCTTCCTTAGTAGGATCTTGTATACATGTAAAATGAAACAGGTGTTGAGACTGGTATGGGGTGCCACTTACCCTAGTAGGATCTTGTATACATGTGTAATGAAACAGGCTGTGTTGAGACTAGTGTTGGACATCATATTCTAATATGAAGCACCAATTATATTAATGCTTATTTTCCCTATGGATCACAATAAAACAAAAAAAAATAATTCAAGGAAAGTGGTGATGCGTTGCATAAATAATTTTGATTAAAAAATAGCTTTTTGTAATAACTTTTCTAGCAACAGCAATCTTGTATGTTTGGCAAAAGAGTTGGCATAAGTTCAATTATGAAAGTGCCTTTAATCATAAGTGGAAGGATTAAATGTTTTGAACAAAATGCATGCTTTATATGATAAATTGACATTCTATTCTCTGAGATGAAGTTAAAATTAAACCTTAATAAATGCAATACTGAAAATATTTCTCTCATTGTGTGAGTAAAAAATTCAACAAATGTAATTCCCAATTTTACCAATGCCGTTCAATTAACCTATTAAACACCAACAAAGAGCGTCAAACTGATCAAAGTGAAACACATGTCAATCAGTTTGCAAATTATGCATCTAGGAAATAGAAAGCAAAGAATACAATTAAAGATATACATGTATCAAGAGAAATAGAGAAAAGAAAGCTAAACAAGTTACATAAAGTACACTCGTCTAAATCTGTGTACAGCACATAAAATCAGCTGCTTCCAAGAATTGCAATTTACTGCTGCAAGACGAGAGGCCTGCAAATGTTGAGATGACATCTACCCATGAGCAGATCGAAGACCACCCTCACCAGCAAAGAAGAGAAAGTCCCTATATGCCTCTTCAAATTAGTTTGTGCCCACACAAACATGATAAGGACCAAACATTCCAAAACTGTTGTGTGTATATATTCAGCTCTTGCCCACAGGAATGTTATTTCAATGTAGAAATGCACTGTAATTGTTTCATCTCAAGGCAGTGTGTAATTGATTGAATGGAATTAAATGACATCCTATGTCAAACTGGGATTCTAGTGGGATGTCAAGCGCACAAAACTGGGAGCCCAGTGGGATATATGGTGTTCCATAAATGTGCCATCCGGTCAGATTTCTCAACCGCCATCACTTTTCTGGTTTAGAGACACATTTTTTAACTGGCGTCGCTTTTTCATCATGTGTCAATGTGACATTTTTCAACAGGTGTCACATTTTCAAACTGGTGGCACTTTTTTCAACCGGTGTTGGATTTTTCAACTGGCATTGCATTTTCTACAAACAAACTTGTCTAAGAAATATCATGCACCTTTTTTTTTTTGTGAAAGTACATTATCTAGGGTAAAAGAAGCAATCAGCAATAAAAATGCGACACCGGTTGAAAACTGCAACACTGGTTAAAAAATGCGACACTGGTTGAAAAATGCGACATCGGTTGATAAATGCCACACCAAACCAAAAATACAACGCAGGTTGAAAAATGCAACACCAGTTGAAAAATGCGACACCCGTTGAAAAATGCGACACCAACACCGGTTGAAAAAAAAATGTGACACTGGTTGAAAAATGCAACACCAAACCAAAAATGTGACACAGGTTGAAAAATGCGACACCAACACCAGTTGAAAAATGTGACGTGAGTTGAAAAATGCGACTCCAAACCAAAAATGCAACACAGGTTGAAAAATGCAACACAGGTTGAAAAATGCAACACAGGTTGAAAAATGCAACACCAGTTGAAAAATGCGACACCAACACTTGTTGAAAAATGCAACACCAGGACACGAAAAATTAATATTATTGGCGGGTTGGGTGCTCCGAATAAAAAAATGCAGAGGTGCTGGGAAACTTTAAAAACCACACGTGGTCTAGGTTTGGATAGAAAAGAAATGCCGAGAAGGGAAGAATCAATATTATTGGTGGGTTAGCTGCTCCGAATAAAAAAGAGATGTGGTGCAGAAAAAAATTAAAACCTTATAAATGCCGAGGGGGGAAAGAATTCATATTTTGGTGGGTTGGGTGCTCTGAATAAAATAATTGGGGGGTTGTGTTAGTGAGAAATAATAAAAACCACACGTGATCTAGGTGAGGACAGAAATGCCAAGGAGGGAAGTATTAATATATTTGGCGGATAGGGTGTTAGGAAAAGAAATGCTAAGGCGGGCTGTCCTGTCAATCAAAGATGCAACCAAATCTACTGGAACAATTGTTATACATGATAGTCTGTCAGCTGTAAATCATTGGTTGGATGAAAGCTCCTCAGAGACTTCATTTGGAATACTCTCCTGATTTTATTCCCTAGCTACTTTTATTTTTCTCTTCATATGATCAATAATGAATGGCCAGTGAATTCATCCCATAAAAACGGGTCTTCAATAAAGACTTTTTTTAAATTTCCTTTTTTCCTCAAAGCACTTGACCACTGTATGGTACTAAAGTATCATCACCGACCACTACATTCCATGATATCCCCCATCTGTACGAGGTGCACAGCTGTATTTTTGGATAAAAAAGGAAATCACATTAGGCGGACAACAGACCGCTTGCATTCGCCGTCCATGTTATTGCCTCCGACTGCGAGCTGTTTTGGATATGTCTGGATGAAACTTTTCCCTGAGAGTAAGGGTAGGAAGTTTAA